ATTGAAGTAGACTTAAATGTAGGATAATACATTACAGGGGTGGACTGAGTTGCAGATTGGGATAGCTATGGGGTGTACGATCTCACCTATACTGTTTGTCATGGCAATGCAGATCATGTTAGACGGGGCGGCCGGCTACGGACTGGGCCTTCAAATAGGGGATCACTGGATGCCACCATTACGTGCCTTTATGGATGACACGACTATTATAACGGGCAGCGAGGAGTCTGCCCGCACGATCCTGGAAAGATTGGACGCGGTGGTCCAATGGAGCGGTATGCAGTTCAAACCGCAAAAGTCGAGGAGTCTGTCTATCCTTAAGGGTCGGGTGGTGGCAACCAGTTTTACAGTGGCAAGGAACAAGATCCCTACGGTTCTGGAGGAACCGGTGAAGAGCCTTGGTTGCGTTTACGATTCGAAGTTATCTGATAGAGTGGAGGTCCGGCGAATACACGAGTCACTGGCTACAGGCCTGCTCGCGATTGAGCGATGCAGGCTGGTCGGGAAATTCAAGGTATGGTGTCTCCAATTCATGTTGATTCCAAAAATCCTATGGCCACTGTTAGTCTACGAGGTGACGATGACTGCAGTGGAAACCATGGAGAGAAAGATCAACACAGCCTTGAGAAAGTGGATTGAAGCACCGCCTTGTCTGACCGACGTGGCTCTGTATTGCAAGCAGGCTAAGCTGGTACTTCCGTTCAAATCAATAACCGAAGAGTTTAAAGTCGGCAAGGTAAGACTCGCCATGCTCTTGCGCGAGTCTTCAGACCCAAATGTCATCGCTGTCCAGCCCGCTCTAAAGACTGGCCAGAAGTGGAGGGTCCTTGATGCGATTGAATCTGCGCAGAACGCACTAAAATTGAAGGAGATAATGGGTTACACTCAAACCGACCGTCGAGGCCTAGGGCACGGGAAGGTCAATTAGTGGTCAAAGGCATCAGCCAAAGAGCGCCGAGACATGGTAATACAAACGGTGAGGGACAACGAAAACGAGGTTCGGGTTCAGAAAGCAGCCCAGCAGTCGCAGCAGGGTCAGCCTGGAGAGTGCATTGCCAAGAATACTCACATGGGGTGAGATCTGGCGGATGACCCCGCTGCGACTGAGCTTTATCGTTCGTGCGGCATACGATGTATTACCGTCCGGTGTTAACATGGTTAAATGGTCTGCGACTAACGATCCGACTTGCCCGTTGTGTAAATCGAAGCAGACTCTAGAACACGTCCTGTCCGCGTGCAGGAAAGCCCTAGGTCAAGGCCGATATACCTGGCGACACAACAAGGTGCTAAAAGAGTTAGCAGCCGTTGTTGACCAGGCCAGTTCTAGCATCGTCCCCATTCGTTTCCTCAAGGCTGGGCAGGTTCCAAAAGGTAAGTTCAACCAAAACGCATTCGCTCCATCTGTGCTAGACTCTGCGTGGGACTGGTTACTGGCGGTTGATCTGCCGGGCCATGAAAGGTACCCCGAGTTGATCCGTAAGACCGGCCTGCGACCTGACATAGTTCTCCACACTGCGCAAAAACGGCAGCTCATCCTGATTGAGTTGACCGTCCCGTTTGAGTCGCGTATGGAAGAGAATCACTTGTATGAGCTCGAGAAATACAGTTATTTAGCAGCCGGTCTGAGGAGAAACGAGGCGTACACAGTACGGGTCTTTGCCGTCGAAGTGGGAGCGAGAGGCCTCGTTTCCACTTCACTCTACAATGTGGTTAAAGAACTAGGATTGCGTGGTAATGAACGGAAACGAACACTCAAAAAACTGGGGGAGGTAGCCAAAAGGGCCTCTAGCTGGCTTTGGACGCAACGCAACAACGTAGGGGACGGGCCTCGGTGAGCTGGTCCGGGTGTCTAGTGGAAAAGGGTTTCTCACCCCTTGAAAGTCCATTGTGTCCGAATTGTCTGCCAGTGATCCTCTGCCACCTGCTAATAAAAGCCCAACAAGTGTCCGGTAAACCAATCGTAAGCTTGTCGCTCGGTCATCCAGGTATGCTGACAGCTTTAATTAGGCTGCCGCGGCGACTTCTTATCTCACAGTACCTTCTGCAAACCACCAAGTCGTCTTGTCCCTATCCGAAAGAAAAACACCATCCGGTAATCTCGTGCAGCAGGGTACCAGCCCTGAGCTTCATGAACTCAGGTGGGCCCACCTCCGAAAGCGTCTAGGAATCGTGGGCCGAAACGCTCGTTGACGAGGTTAATTTCTACTGACGACTGGTAGATCCCTGCTGTACTTGCTCCCTGTGACTTTATTCCTACAGGGCTACAGCCTATAATAAAGTTTCTATCCAGCACAAATTTATTATCAGAAAACTGTTTCAGGTCACAGTGGCAGAATCAATCTATTCTCAAACTAGAGGTTATTTGATATACCCATTTTGACTGTTCACTGTAATAACACAAGTCTCACCAGAAACATAGAGCAACGTCTTTGTTCCGGTGGTGACATTTTTCTTTTTGTGTGAGACGGGCATTGAGCCATGAATTTTCATTTTCATTGTTATTTTGTGCCATTATGTGTTACATAGGGCTGCAGTCTATTCCTCCATCTGTGTTTATGTATGTCTGCGTATGTGTTTGCGTTTGTGTGTCTGTGGGTGTGTGTCTGCATGTATCTGTGCGTGTGCCTGTGTGTATGAATGCCTGCGTATGCTTTTGCGTGTGCGTGTCTGTGGTTGTGTGTGTGTGTCTGCGTGAGCATCAGCATGTGTGTGTGTGTGTGTCTGCGATTGTGTGTGTGTTTGTGTGTCTCCGAATGTATCTGTGTGTTTGTGTCTGCGTGTGTTTGTGCATGTGTGTCTGAGTGTGTGTGTATGCCGTATTATGTGTGTGTGTGTGTCACATGTGTGTGTGTGTATCTGCGTGTGTGATTAGGTATGTGCGCCTATGTCTGTTTGTGTGTGTGTGTCTGCATTTGTTTCTATGGGTGTGTCTCTGTGTTTATATCTGAATGTTTGTATGTGTGTGGAATGTGCGTGTCTATGTGGGTATGTAGCTATCTATGTGGGTGAATGGGGTGTGTTTATGTATGTGTGAAAGTATGTGGGTGTGTTTGAGTGTGTGTGTGTGTGTGTGCGTGCGTGCGTGCGTGCGAATGTAAGATGGGCCTGCGTGCCCAATTTGTGACCCTTTGAAATTAAAGTTTGTTCGTTCGTTCTATCTTTTGCAGTCCATTCAGTATCATGGATGTAATCAAATCCAGCCCCTTTGGCCTCTCTCATCAGCGTTTATTGCTATATTCAATTGTTTGATTTTTTTTTGGTTTAGGTAATCATTATACTTTATAAGCACCCTGTTGTGTTTAGTAATGACTGTGCATCCGAAACTAAGTGAAACCCCACACAGCACATATTCATCAATGTTAACAGCTGTGTCATTGAACCAGACATGAGATATATCACTTGTTTCATTTCTAGGTCTGCCCTTACTATTACCACTCTGCATTCTCTCACGAGTGTGGTAAATAACTTTATGGCAGTCATTACTGCTACTGTTGTTCATTCAGCCCACTTGGTAGATGTTCCAGCAACTTTACTTTGGACAAGGGCTGTCGGGAATTTATACCTGATGAACAGCTGATCAGTGACAATTGATATTGGGTGATATTATTTTATATATAAATATACAGGTAGAACTGTAGAGAGAGGTTAAAAAACAAACAGCTAGCATATGTGGTTTTAATGAAACAGTCAAGAAAGACTGTGTTAATCATTGGAAGTTGGGTTGGGCATTAACGTGGATTGTTGACCTTAATGTACCTGAAGTTTTGTTGTTGCTAAAATTGATAATTGTTTACTACTGCAGTAACAGTGATTTAAAGTGTTAAACTTCATTTGCTAACAAATTCTATGAAGATAAATTGAAGCCAGTGGTAACATGCTAACTGCCTCATATTATCAAAACTAAAATTTTGTTTAACACACTTTTCTCACATGATAAAAACTAAAATTTAGTTTAACACACTTGCCTCACATGATCCAGACCAAAATTTAGTTTAACACTTGCCTCACATGATATTGACTCGTCTAGGGTTGGGAACAGTTCTACATCATTTCATCATCCAACTCCACATCACTATGATCAATCCACTGTTTTAATAAACTAGCTTCTAAAGCAGTAAATCGCTTCATTGGGCATGAAGACAATTTGTGCAGTCATATATTTTTTTAGACTGTTGCTCGCTTACTTAGTAGAGCACAAAAATATAGTTTTAGAGCATCAAAACGATCGCACTGCATGTGTCTATATACAAGTAACCTGAAAAGCGAGTTTAAATTAGACCACTGGGTAGTTACCAATGAGTGGGTGATGCGTTCCTTGGGACTAAAAGAGTCAATCTAACAGACAACAATGTGGCCAGTTATACTTAATCTGACACCTGTGAAGCCAGATTAGTTTAATCTTGTAGCTTTGTAAGAAAGTAAAATGTGGGACTCCATCATGTGAGATAGGTTGTTGTTATGTGGTTCAAGTCCCATCACGATCAGCAGCCACTGCATGTCTGTCTTTAGTATCATGCTAACTGCCTTTACTTTCCAGGAGTTGTCTTGTTACCAGTTTGAGACCCAATCAACCTGGAAAGGGGGGGGGGGGGATTGGAATCCCTGGGCCATGAGGCAAATATATGAGCCACTGCACTTTTGGGACGCTTTGGGATAAATTAGCGCCTTGTCCTCTTACTAAGTTTGTCATCTCTCCAGTCACCAAGAAGGCTGACCTGGGTAACAAAGGTCTGCAGAAGTCAGATGTGTCTGCTATAAGGTGCAAATGTGCCAGGTTATAAATGGGCACAACACATTTATGACTCTAGATGAATGCAGAAGAAGATCACTGCAGTCAGAATATTTGTAATGTGGAGACTGCTCAGAGTTTGTCCCAGCTAACTAAGATACTGTATCAGTTGGTGAGTGTTTTTCTTGATACTGTATCTATAGCTGAATATCGGGCAAAATGGGTTTGCATAAAAACATGCAGTAATAGACATTTATAATATCGATTTCAGCAAAAGTTTAGTACTGTCATCTGTTGGCTTCACTTGCGTGGCATTCGTTACTGGAGCCTTGGCATTTCTGGCACCAAGTTTTATGGTCTATGCATCTCAGATACAAGGTCATGAGCAGAAGGAATCTTTGTGAGTACTTTCATATATTTTAATGTTTGTAGAAATAAAACCTAGTGATTACTTTTGAGCCAAGCAGTGTGCATTCTAGCCACTGACTTCCACATTGCTGATTTTATCCGCAACCATCATACATGCACTCTGTGCACCACACACCACTTGACTCATTTGTTTACCGAAATGGCTTCCTTTCCTGCAAGTTTCTGTAGCAAAAACAACTTTTACAGGATGGTGGTGCTTTGGACTGGCAATGGCTGATAAATTAGCAGCTATGAACCTCATTAAATCAGTGAAAATGGAGAAAATGCAATGGTACATGCAGATACAAAGGTTTACGGGCATCTTCAGGGGGTTCTAGAGGGCTCGGTAGAGGGGAAGAGGAAAACTGCAGACAGAGTTAGGTACAGAATCTGGCTGATTTGGCAGGCCTCGGACATGCAGACATCAAATCCAATGCAGCTGACCAGCATAGATGGAGACAACTTGATCATACAGTCAACAGCAACTGGTGATTCAATGACTCGCATTTTTGTAGGACTGTGATGATGATGAGGCTTTTAATTTCAAACTTTTACTTCTGCCAGAAAATCCACATGCTGTATTTCATCTGTTTACAAGGTGCTTTTACTGTTAATAAAACCGGGCGGGCGGGCGGGCCGGGGGGGGGGGGCTTCTTGTTAGGGAAAAAACGCATTTAGTACATAGCTGACATCTTTTCGAAGAGTTGTGAGAGACACACTTGAACACAAAATGCTTAACTTATCCTAGTTAATGAAAGTCCATCTGTTATGCTTCTAAACAGCATGTTTTATTGTTTCCTAATTCCTTGAGTACCAAACGGTTTTGCAGGAGATGACCTTGTACATAAATAATCAATAGGATAAACAATGAATGTATTAACTTTCAGAGAAGTCAATTCTGGGAAAACCAGATTTTTTGATTATTTTCTGGCCAAATGTGAAAAGTACAAGAACGTATTACATGTTGGGTAAAATTCACATAAAAGCTTATCACTCATCATACTTTGGTTGGGACTGGGAGAGTTAATGATCAGCCATTATAAATGTAAAGGTCAGACCATTATAAAATTTAAGGTCATTGTTTTCTCCTGTTCTCTGCTGCTAGCACAGACTCTTTTGTCTCTTCAGTCATATTTTCAGTTTTTCTTTCCTAGCTTTTGTTATTCATATTTATAATTTTACCAGTGTGTTTGATGTTCATAATGTAGAAGTATGCTCTGTAAAATGCCAGTAGATCATTAGCTTTTGAAAAATAGTAGTTACAAATATCATTACTCATTTTGGGGTTGACAGTCAAGAGATAGAAATGACCATGACAAGGACACAGAACCTGTAAACACTGCATGATACTCGTTATGTAAATGAGCCAGCACAAATTATTAGCTCGTGGTCATTCGGGGAAGCAGTACGGTGGAAGGTGGACGTGATTTGTTTTGGCCATGATAGATGTAGCGGATGTAATCCGCTGGCAGATAATGTCAAGTATTAGAGTTAGCTATTGAGTTATTTAGAATGATGAAGCAATGATAAGATAATAAAGTTAATAGTAACAGAGCTGAACATACTTACATCAGACTTCCTCGTGTGAATTGTGACCACATTCTGATGGACAGTTTGTTCTTGTTGTCCTGTGACCATGATTGCAGTGTCAGTGTGCTTTTGGGAGGGTCACCAATGAACTATATCACAGCACTCATAGCTCTTGGTAATTGTAAAGCTTAGGGAGTTGGAGGCCAATATGAGAGGTAAAATAAAGCACATCTGTCTGTGCAAGTTGAGTGACCTTTATACACACATGCTGTGACCTTGCCACCCCCCTCTCGAACCCTGACAACAAGCTTTATTTATATAATATACTTCTTGCCCGATATGTTTTCTTTTCAAGTGTGAAGACATTTGTTAACCACCAAGGAAAATAAATTTATATTAATAGAAATAATTTGTTTCAACTACCATTTTATGTTAAAAGTAAAGTATAGAGGGCTGCAAGTGCAGCTCTCCCCGTATTTGTTTTATCAGTCAATTTCACAATTATTGTACCTGAAATATGTTCATATCCTTCTCACAGTAATGAGCATCCATTTGTCAGTTGAAGGGAAGAGTTTGTGCTGGTATGTTAGTATTATGCTTATTTTTTTTTTTTTTCTAACACAATAAAAATATATATTTTTTTTAATTTGACAGAGTGAGCTTGACTTTTGGAGTGATTACTGTAGCCGCTGGCTTTATAGGTGTGGCTTTGGGGGCTGAGTCTGCCAGGCGATATAAACGTATCAACCCTCGAGCTGACCCATTGATCTGTGCCATCGGCATGATCACATGTGCACCATTCTTATTTTTCGCCCTGGTTGCTTCTAGACATAACACAGTGGCCACTTGGGTAGGTGTTTGCTGGAGAATTGTCACTGTAATTAATGTATGCAGATTTTATATTTTGAGAAAATACAGTAAGATATTTTGGAGTGTCATCTCTGGCTGCATAATTTAACAAAATAAGTTCATGTAACATAATGTTGATTTTGAATTTTTTACCAAGTTATAATATTAAGACAGTGTTAATGAAGATTTTGTATTAAAGATAATGATACTATGTTATGTGCTATCTTTGTGACTGAAGTATCCATATTTACAAATACATGCTGGATTTTATTGCATTTTCAGGTACTGATATTTTTTGGTGAAGTTCTTCTCTGTTTAAACTGGGCAATCACTGCTGATATTTTATTGGTAAGCTATCACTTGTTTATATATGTGAGTATGTGTACATACGCATATATGCTCCCACACAAACACACAAGCTTTATTAGCCGACTTTGTTTGGGTAGATTCAGACTCATTCCTAAATCTTTATAATTTATTTTATTCATCCTGTTACAAATTTATTTCAGTTTTTGGCTATACACAATATTTTTAGTCTGTTGTCGATCATCAGCGATGTAAACACTGTTGAAGGATCTGTCAACCTTGACAATCCCACGTACAGCTGATCTAAGTGTGTGGATTAATGTGATTGCTCCTGCGCATTATTGATATTAATTGCAAATACCAGTAGAACAGGAAATTGCAGTAATGATTCCAAAGGTTGACAAACGAAATAGCACGGTTTGATCTAGAAATGGCAGCCAAGATGACATGTGCAAATGTTACATCACTACTGTTCACCATTTGGGTGGAATTCTTGTGATGGACGGACCCATACTTTCTCTGTTTTATAGTATCTATTTTTTAATATATTTTTGTGCGTGCCTGCGTGCGCACGCATACGTGCACGTACTTCCTCTCTCTCTCTCTTTCTCTCTCTCTCTCTCTCTCTCTTTCTCTCGCTCTCTCTCTCTCTCTTTCACTCACTCACCCATTCACTCACTTACTTTTGAAAAAAATAGGTCTTGTAAGCCAAAAACTGAGAACATTACTTCTGATCTGTCACTAACTACTGACAGTTTTGAACCATTTTTTATGGTGGTGTAGATAGCGGCACTTGAGCCTGAGGATTTAGTGATCATTATTAAAGGTTACCAACTTTCTTATGCAATTATTTTGTATTTCCATTTATCATGTTTTTGTTTTGCTTTTTTGGTGTGTGTGTGTGATAATTTGATAATTTATTACTGAAGACTTATGAATGAATGATTGTTTAACTTTGTTTCATATTTCTTTAGTATGTGGTCATTCCAACTCGTCGATCTTTAGCAGAGTCTGGTCAGATTCTGATGTCCCATGCATTTGGTGATGCTATCAGTCCATACATCATTGGCTTGGTATGGTATCACTTTAATATTTCAACAACTTGTAAAATGTAAAGCACTCAGATTGCTTTTTGATGGATTCAAAATGCATCAAATATGTTGTTTTAGTATTGTTATGTGATTAATCTGATCTGAATAAATAGTCCTTTATTTGTACTGTTTTTTTTACACTATGTTTTTTAATGCCTTTGTAACAGTGATTAAAGTTTGTCTATATATGTTTTAAATTGTTGCATAATTGGTCATATAATGAGGATAGAGGCGTTAGAAAACAATGTAATGAAAGATCTGTGCTCACATGCAAGATTTTGTGCCGGCACCCATTAATGTCGTGCCAGTTGTTCTGGGGGTGTTATGAGATTTCTTCCTTTGGCGTTTATACACAGTGTGCTGAAAGGTGACTGGCGCGTATTCGATGAGGTCAAAACACTGTCTCCCAGACACAGCTGTGCAGCTATCTTTCACTACTGCCTCTTGTGTGAAAGAGTATTATTTCTGGAATGTGTTATTGCTGTGAGTGGAAAGCTGGAGTAGGTCAGGTGCCTGTGTACAGGGAAGAAGTAATGCAGTGGGAAGAGTCGAATGTGCAGTGGTTCACAAATATTGATTCATTGATGTGTTTGTATTGTTATGCTCATTGGCGGTGGCTCTCATGGGTGGTGGATATATGCTTAAAACCTTCAAAACGAGCAACACCTAACATCCCTAGACATAGGACAGCCTGCGGGAACTGGCACGGCATGAATGGGAGTGGGTACGAAATCTTGCTCATGAAGTACTTGAAATCGATGGTAGATAAGGCAGAGACAAAATAAGGGATTTTGTATGGTTTCAGATGCTGACAGTTGATTCAGGACACCCGCGGTCGAGATGTGTGAAAAACAATCAGGTTTACACTGTCTGACAAGGCACATATTGATGATTATAAAATTGGGGGAAGCCATATTACTACAGCGGCTTGAAATAAGGCATACATTTTAAACTAATGTTACTTCTGCTCTTAGAAAAGCCTAGAAAAAATGCCAGGACATTTTGTGAAAGGTAAAGGCAGCAGATGTGATATTGACCTGACCATTCGTCAGTGGTCTGAGAGTCCATTACCTGTTCTGCAAGTCAATCTTGCGTGCTCATGCGTGAGTGTGTGCATGCGTGCAGTGTTTGTGACCCTTATCAGTGTTGTCGAGGAGCAGTGATTGGCAATTGAATTTTGTGTTAAAACTTGTAAAGTTGGTGTGGAAATGATTAAATTGATCAAAAAGCTTATGATAGCTCTGCCTTGAAACATGCTAACATTTATCATCAGTTTGTTCGCCTTTGAGATGGAAAGGAGGTCACAAAAGATGATACCAGAAGTAGGCATTCTTTCACAATCAAAACAGAGGAAAATGTGGAATCTGTTCTGTCTGTTACAGAAGCTGGTCATCTTACTGTTCAAATGATTGTTGATCATTTGATTACAAGCAAGTAGATAGTGTAAGGACTTATGGATAAGAACAGTCTGTTGATGAGACTTGTTCCTCACACCTTGACCACAGAACAGAAACAGCAAACACTTTAACTGCCAGGATTTTTTTGCATAAATAAGCTAGATTTCCCTGTGAAAATCTCATTTCCAAACAGTGGAAGACACTTAGTGTGCAATAACAAAGGAACTTTACATTTTTTTTAAAAACTGATTTACCGAAGGGCATTAGGAAGTCAAAGGAAAGTGCAGTCAGTAATTTTGATCAAGAAGGAACTTATTTTGAACAATAAAAATAAAAATTTAAAAAGTCTATACAGGAAGAAGTTCTTAGTGATTCATAATAGTTATCTTAAAACTTGTAGTGGCACACTGAATATTATTGTTCTTTCTAACAGATTGCTGATGCTTTAGCTTCGAGTCATCCGGATCCAAATCGTCCCTTTGTACAGTTTCCAGCTATGCAAACATCTCTGTATGTCACAACCTTCATCTGTGTCCTTGGAGGTGGTGCCTACCTGGCAACTGCTCTTTTTGTAGAGCAGGACAAGAAAGAAGCTGACAAGTTGATGCATGGTAGGAAAGAGAGAGAGAGAGAGAGAGAGAGAGAGAGAGAGAGAGAGAGAGAGAGAGAGAGAGAGAGAGAGAGAGAGAGAGAGAGAGACTTACTAGATTCATATTGTCCAGGATGACCAATGATGACTGTATGAGTGGCTTTGAGTAGGACATTCACCTCTAACCAGTCTGCAGTTGAATGTTTTAAGAATATGTAGTTCTGATAAGTATATACAAATTAAGATTCTCACCAGAGCTACAAAGTTCATAAACTGTAGTGAGACTCAACTTGTGTGATCCGTGCAAGGAGAATGGGCATCTGTTGATTTAACTGTGTACAGTGACAATTGATCTTTCACAAACCAAACTAAACCTGACAGCATGAATGTACCATGTCTCTGAAAGAATCTTCTTTTGCTTCAGCATTCTGAGCCCTTGAGCTTCATTGCTGCACATATCACCTGCCTCCACTCATCTCTCTGGTCAGCCTTCTTCAACATTCCGAGCCCTTGAGCTTCATTGCTGCACATATCACCTGCCTCCACTCATCTCTCTGGTCAGCCTTCTTTAACATTCCGAGTCCTTGAGGTTCATTGTTGCAGATATCACCCACCTCCACTCATCTCTCTGGTTGGCCTTCTCTTTCCAGTTGGTGACACCAAGTGTTGGCAGGTCTGTCTGGGCATTATTGTTTCTCCATCGTTTTCTTGGTCTGCTTTCGTGGTCTACCTTGTGTATACAGTTTTCACTTCTCTGACATCTGACATTCTCTCATTATGCCCCAACTATTTCAGTCTATTAGCTTTCATGATGCCAGTTATCATCGGTTATTTAAACAGATTATGAATTTCTCTGGAAGAATGAACAGTCCAAATATTGTTCTCTTCCTCTCGCACATGTTGCCAAGTTTTAATATAACTGTTACCTTTCAGGTGACATGGAAGACACTACAAATAGTAATGCAAGCCTGTTTGATGGTGCACATGTCAATACTGCTATTGAAGAAGAATTGCACAGTAAGTAGATTATGTTCAGTGACTTTTCATGGATGTGTACCATGTGACAATTACATTTATTAGGAAATGAAATATATGTGCAAACTTATGTTGTGCTAGCAAGAACTATGTGCTTTTGTGGAATGTCATGCAGGAAGTCAGTCGATTGCTGCAGTGAAGCTTGGTTACAGCAAATCTCTACAACTTTTGTCCTGCACCGACAGACTTTCTCCATTTCTTGATTTTATATTCCCACATGTTACTTGTGCCACCCCCTTGCTTCTGTATTAAATTTTTTTATAATCTGTCATTGATTTTGGCCTGTATTTGTGGTAATTCTTAGTGCATGTATTAATTACTAAAGGTTTTGGAGTCTGCAGTTTATTTTGTATATTCTAATCACCTCATAAGAGTTGTTGTTTTTCTCTGTTTTCTGTAAACTAAAGGATCCTTTTGCATGACTGCAAGCGCATAGGACATATGGTGCTAGATCAATATTTTATAGACCAATGAGGACTAGGGGGTTGATGTGGTCAACATCACGCCAGACGCCTCTACTTCCCAGGACCTTTCCTGGCCCCTATTAGAGGCTGGGTCAACCTGGAAGCCAAAGTCATTAAAAAAAAATGCTCTATTTGGATTTGAACTCATGACCTTCAGATCCGCAGCAAGTATCTAGCTGTGACACCACGGCGGCTCCTGATTTCAAACTATTTTGTTGTGTTCAAAAGACACAATCAATACCATCTGAAAACAGCTGGGGGAAAAAGCTTCAAGATACTAGCCATCATGCGAATACTTAGTGGCACCACCTGCACAGAACCAGTTCTTAAGTAGATACAAAGACAGCCTAATCGGATAGGTTGCCCGCTTAGAGAGGATGCTTTGTGACACCATACCATATAAGGCATACACCAGAAGAGGAGAAGGTGGTAGAGCATGGCTGGACCATGACCTTTCACATGTAATTTCCTGTTATTAAGCGGTATCAGCCATTGGATTACCCGACCATAGTGTGTGTTTATCTGTTTCAAACCATATGTTGTTCACTGCAAGTGTGTACATCCACTGTTTTTACATGTATGTGTTTACATCAGTAAATCATATATTGTCATGTATTTGTGTATTTTATTAGCTTCCTTTTAATATTTTATAATGTTTAATAATTTAAAAAAAAAAATTTTTTTAGCGATTTTAATTCCAGTATTCTCATTATTTGCTTCTATATCCATATATTTGAAACATTTCTAATTGCTTTTGTTCCTGTGCAGTAAACTTGGTAAACTGATAATATTACTTTAATAACTGTAAGATGGTTTTCTTTATATCCAACGGAGTGGTTAGTTTAATACATAGGCTTGGTTTTCCATCACTTATTTCAGTGATATGCTTTATCAATTCTGCATTGGTTATTGGTGTCCATATTTCTATTTTCTCTGATTTCATATGACACTATTGTCAAAATAGGTTTAATCTCGGTGTTGTAGTCAAGAGGACAAGAATGCAGCCAGAACAACTACCAGTGCAGGAGCTACACATGAAAGGGTCTGAAGTGAAAGCAAGAGGCTGTCAAAGGAGAATGTGGATTGATGACATCAAAGACTGTTCCTCCCCACAATGCTTAACGGCAGAAGTGGAAACCGATGATGATAATGATGATGATGTAGTCAAGAAGGCCCCAGTCTGTTGAACAAAGTCAGCTGGAAGTCTCATGCTCTGCCTGAAAAGTTTTTTTTAGATCTCTATGTCAGTTGACATACATGACTGTCTCTTTGTCTGCAAAGATTTTTCTACGTGTGGGAGAATACACATTTCTCAAGAACCTGGCATGTAACCATCCTGGAATGTTTTAAGGATTACAGTCTGTGATGAGATCTATAATACTTTACTGGAGGATCAGCATTACATTGTCTTAACAGATTAGACAGCATATGATCATAGCTAAGGGCAACCCCACAGTTGTTTAAAAATTCCAGCTGATTCCACTGGTGACATCCAGTCAGTGATAAAGAAACTTTGATCTCGATTCTGCCTATCAGCACAAACAAGTTTATCAAAAAATTGCGTTAGTAAAGAAAAAAAAAAGGAATTTGATGAGAATGTATCCCTACATTGTTATTGAACATAGGTATTTAATTTTGCTGAAAGACTTTAAAAAAAAATTTTCAATTCAGATGTCGGAAATAATTTGAGCAAAGCAGGTACTCAAAAACAAATGAACACAAAAAACTGCTGAGAAAACTAAGAAAGAAACATGAAAAGTACAGCTAGGTAAAATATATCATGGTTGATAAGACAATCCAGACATGGACAGAGCTGATATAATCTATCCTGTAAACACTGAGCTTGTGGATAATGGTGAGTCTCTGACACTAATCTGATTACATGACATAGGAGTAAAGCCTGTTTAAGCATGTCTGGCCTAGTGAACGACATCTGTATCACCTCCGAGGGCAAGATAGGAAGCATTATAACCAACTTTTCATAGGAATAATCAGTAAAGGTACCTTGGGATATGTGCTGCAGCCGAGGATTGAGCACCCATAGGAATGAGGAATATGCAGTGACGTCAGTTGCTATAACCTGTAGACTGGTGTTGAGACCTTTCTCTAATTAGCTGGACATTGAGTTTACTGAAGCAGGCAGGATAAGTGTAAATTCAGATCAGATCAGCCACACATTACAGTTTTAGTGTGATGGATTCCTTGTCATTTTAACATGCCTGGTAGGGACAAAGAAGACTAGTAAAGAAGGAATCTTATGTCAGAACAGTCACAAACACAGTCTTAAAACAACCAAGTAGCTTACAACATTAAGTGAAGAAATCTGTTGAACAGATGAACTACTGGAGGCACTCAACTCATCTTGTACCTTGCACCAGGAGAATGATTGTTTATATGCTTCAATGTATGAGGGTTCCCAGGAACTATGTTATTTCCTCTGTCCATTTTTTGCATGGTAGGCTTCTCTTTTGTTGACACTTGTAGTGAAATATACAAATACAAGTATATATCTAGTCCTGCCTGACCCCATATGGCAATTAAGAACCAGAACATGATTTTCAGACTGTTAACATATCGCTTCTTGCTTATCTAAGAAAGCTGATCAAGAAATTGTAATGAACTGAACACTCATAGATACAGAAGCAAGAAGTAGAGACAGGAGGACAAATAAGTGCCAGTGCTTAAGTTTTCCTCAGAGATTATATAGGTGAATTATCTAACAGTAAACTGATTGGAGAAATGAGACGTGGACAGTCAAGAGTTTTGGGGCATGTGATGAGAAGGAATGAACTCCAGAACTGGCTAGTTTGAGGGAAAGGCAGAGAGGCAAATACTTGGATGGCTCAGCCATATGGGTGGGGAATGACAAATACACTGAGCTGATCTGAGATTCTGGTGATTGTGTGAGGTGGCAAAACATGACAGCTTACTCTTATCAGCACAGCACGTGATGAAAATGATTTTCTAAAAAAAAAAAACCCACACAAATAAAAAACAAAACAAAAACACAGCAAAATTTAGTTGGTATAAATACAGAATCACCTCTTTTAGTCAAGCTGTTACAGATATGTGGAAATACCACTACCAAAACCAGATAACAGAAAAACTATATATGGAACAGCACAACTGTTCACAGTAGCTGGTGAAGATAACATCAGTCTGAAAGTCGGAAACCCTGACAGTGCTGGATCCATATCAATAGCAACATGGGTCTGTACCTCATCAGATGCCAAACTACACAATCATCATCATCAGTCAGCAAGTTCTTTACAGAGCATCGTTCTCTTGATGGCATGCCAGACAGTCTATCTGTAGTCAGTTCTCAAGGACTGTGTGCTTCTGGGCAGTATATATTCAGTGTCCATCTTTGCAGAGGTCGGCCTCTGCCTCTTTTCTGGATACTGTGCCATCCATCACCATTTTTTCTTTCTAGGCCACTGGGAAGTAGATTGTCAGAATTTCAGGACATGATGCTCTTTATTAGCCATATTCTGTTTTTCAGTTTCCTTTGCAACATCTGATTTTATGCTTTGAATTTCCTTGAGAAAAAAAATTCCCCTAAACATTTTTTGTTGTTGATGGTTCTGCATTGGCACAGATGGCTAAGGTGTTTCTCAGTTTTGCACTGACCTTGTAGCAAATGTTATTATTTAAAATATAAATATTTCAAAATAAGAATACAGACAGGAAGAGAAGCTTTCATAGTACTAGGAAATGTATGGAACTGAAAAGAAATTAAATCTGAATACATACTTAGAATATGTAACATCACATCAGCATTGCTTTATGGATAACTTGGAGGGCAGTTAAAACAGATACTGATAAACTACAAACAATCCTTGTCCTGCGATGCAAAGCAGAGTTGAAATAGTGTGACAGAATCATAAATCTGTAGCTTATTAAGATATTACATTGAATCAGGAGGGAAAGATGTTAGTGCTGAAAAGGACATTCACTGAAAGAACCTATTAATATTTAAACTAGAAAATCTTTTACCTGGAATTCACAGGGCAAAAATAGAAGACCAAGAAAAGGCATATTAGAAAGGGTTGTACACGACGCTGGCTCAGCCATAACACTGACCACATAAAGATGTATCTTTAAAAAAAACATCATTTGATGCAGTCATTTAGCATGCCCATGTAGAAAAGTGTCCTGCAAGATTCTGCAGTGGTACATTTGTTCCAGTATTTACAGACATTTCATGTTTTAGAAGTTTCATTGTAACTTGACAGCTCAATTGATTCTAGGTGGTATCTGTGTATGTTGTAATTATAATATCATAATTGAATCCAATCTTTTTAATGAAAGAAGTTTGAAGTTTGAACAATGGATCAACATCATGGCACACGGGTAGTAACCCAGAAGTGCTCCGTTCTTCTTCTAACTCAAGTGTTGAGTCTGAAGAAGCTCAGCATAGTGCACAGGCTCTGTAGCACTGGTAAGGATCCTAAAATACTAAGAGTAGATTTTAAACTCCAAATTTTGCCTGGGCAGCTCCGTAAGGCTACTCCTTTCGATTTTCCAACTGCCAAGGGATTTTTTTTAATGTGTGCAACAATGCACACGAGCATCTGATCTCACTACCCAGAGGCCAGGGGGAAATTACTAGAAGTCCAAGTCCACGTGAACAAATCCCAGCCCTTACCGGGGACTGAACCCGGAACCTCTAGCATTCGAAGCGGACACCATGCCTTCAGACCATGCAGCCCCCCTATTTTTATTGAAAGATATCAGTAAGTAAATACATGGAACACATTGGTAACTTCCAGATGAGATATACAGTGTAATTAGAAACAATGTAGTTTGTATATTTCAGTTACACAGGATTTATTCTTGTGCTTCATAATATGTTGATGTAACTTCTGAAGCAGTGCATCAGAGGAGAATCAGCAAAATGTAGCGTAACTTCTGAAGCAATGCATCAGAGGAGAATCAACAAAATACAGCGGGCAATTAATTGCACAATATATTGTTTGTATGCTTTTTAAAGAGATCAACATGAAGTGGAGGTTACAATGTAAACATTTCATTATGATTACAACACATTATTCCTAGCATAAAACACAAGATCTGCAACAATAGATGAACCTACAGTAATAGATGGTGCAAACCAGGGACTTTCCTTGAATATCACAAAAACAGAACAGAACAGGCAATTATATCAAAGAAAAAGACGGCATTAAAGCGATAAATTACAAAAGAAGGACAAATATTTTTTCAAGTCAACAATTCAAGTATGTGGAGACTATCATGACATCAGATGGAAGATGTATAACTACTTCCATAAAAACATGATTTTCAGTGAGTAACTAACAGTGGTTGTTGGGGGGGAGGGGGGGGGGGGGGGGTCAACCAGGTCAGGAGAAATCATGTTGGATGGTTTAAGATGGGGGGGGGGGGGTCAGCCAGGTCAGGAGAAATCAAGTTGGATGGTTTAAGATGGAGACATAGATCAGTATTATCTACAGAGCTAAACCCAACACTAATCACAATGTGGGAAGAGACATCATAGTAACACTTTTTATTTAAATCATGTGCACTAACACATTGTAGACACTGTTCTGTGAAAATATTCAACTAAATTACTGCTCAGTAACATGTAAATATATTTTCAAGTGTCAGTGAGGAAGTTGAGTGTTACAGTTTTGCATTGACTATATCCGGGGTCCATTTTCTTTTTTCAGGCTGTGTGGCTTGAGACATAGATGCCAATGCAGTTGAACCTAACATTGAAACAGAAGATCTTGGCGTGGTCAGTAAGAGTGTTGAACATTATGAATGTGAGTGCATACTTCTGCGCATGCGTGCATCCGTGTGTATGCACGTGCACATTTTAGAGGAGATCAGCTGCATGCTTTCATTAGCCTCACTGAAACCTGACCAGCAGTTACATGAAAACTGCCTTTCATTTTATGGCAGAGCTTCATTGGGCAAGTAAGTGTTCACATCTTAGTCTGAAATCAGAAACATTGATAGTTGAAGACCGTAAACCAGCATTGTGAACACACGCTATACAGAATGGTAAAATGTCTATTTACATATATGCATGTATGTATGTGTGTGATGCATGAGTGTGTGTAGATATGGCAATAGGGGCCTGACCATAATACTTGGTCTTGTGCTGTACACTGAAGGGAGTGGATGCTTGCGTGTGTATGTATACATGTCAGTGGGGCTCATTTTATAGTCTGTATTAAATAGCTGTTAAGGACACACAGAATGGAGATCCCAGAAATATACTTAGCTGTTAAGGACACAGAATGGAGATCCCAGAAATATACTTAGCTGTTAAGGACACAGAGAATGGAGATCCCAGAAATATACTTAGCTGTTAAGGACACAGAGAATGGAGATCCCAGAAATATACTTAGCTGTTAAGGACACAGAGAATGGAGATCCCAGAAATATACTTAGCTGTTAAGGACACAGAGAATGGAGATCCCAGAAATATACTTAGCTGTTAAGGACACAGAGAATGGAGATCCCAGAAATATACTTAGCTGTTAAGGACACAGAATGGAGATCCAGAATTAAAAACAAAAGATTTGTATTCACCGATTACTCAAAATGGTATACAAGGTAGCTATAAAATATAACTGAATGTGAAATAGATGAAATTTCAGCAACCCAAATGTTCAAGAGTTGTGTGTATTTTGTTACTTTTGTATTGTATGAATATTCTGAAATACATTTATGACAGAAATCTTTATGTTGGTATTTTATGTAAAGACTAAACATCTCAAGTAAAACAAAAAGCTACAGCTACATACTGATCAGATCAGCTCAGCTCAGCATATTTTTGTCTGCCTTGTAAGAGGACCTATTTTTATAATATGTGTAGATGTTTTCCAGGAATGTTTCTTCATCTTACAGTCCTCTACATCTATTCCATAGGCTGAAGTCATTCATAGTCAAAGCATGCTACTGTTTCATGTCTTCAGCAAACCATGCAAGTGCAGCACTGCCATAGATGCACTTTCAATACCCTCATAAGTCTTTGATTTAATTTTTCTTCTCCAACATTTGCCTGCTAGAAACATATTTACCAAGAAATCTTGGCATGCAACATGGTCACACACGGACTTTTTTCAGTATTTCTTCACCAAAGATAAAAAAGATTCTTGTAAGCTGCAAGAATATTTGTTTCTTAGCTCTTTCAGAATCAGTCTGTAATTACTGAAGCTCTTTCCATCGCAAGAAGTTCTAGTTTATAGTAGAGAGTGTTTGAGGGCAAAGTAACTGCAATGCTAACACCACGGTGCAGGCCGAGTAAAAATAACAGTTCGGATTAGTGATTTAATGTAGCAATTGTCTATGAAAGAAAAGAGTCCGACATGGGTCCTGTGTCCAGTCTTTGAACTACCCAATGAACTTGTGATGAGTTGCAAGTTGTCAAAGGAGTACCAAAGGCTTATTTTATGTTTATCTATGATATCTGTACACTGTTTTGTGATTGGAAGAATTATTTGGAAGATATATGTATTTTTGTGCATGTTTTTTTTTTTTTAAAGTGTACTTGACCACTGGCTAGGAAAAAATACAGTCACCTAGCTACTAGTCTCCCATCTAAATAACTTTCATTGTAGTTTCCTTGGGACTCACAGCAGGGCCGCTACTGTAATAATATTTCAACAAATTCTTTGGGAATAGACTGTTGCTTGACCCTTAGTTCTACATCTGTCTCCTTGTGGCTCAAATTATGCATTTTCAGCTTGAGGGAACAGCCAGAAATTAGAAGAAGCCATGTCTGAAAAGTATGGATCTTGACAAATTTGAAGAATGTGATCTTTGACCTAGAAAAAAAACTAATCAGATGAAAAGTTTTGGATGCTCTGTAGTGGTGGAGCTGCCAAGTTCCTGTGCATAGGTCCAGTGGTTTGTTGCACAGCATCAGGACGTTGACAGGTGACCTCTGGGTATTACTTTTTATAATGTTCGAGGCTTGTGGTTTGTACTCATGATTGAACCACCCTGCCAGAATCAAAGAATGACTTTGATGTTGCACACACCTCAGGGATGCTGCATGCTTTACTGTGAAGATTGTACCATGATTTGCCCCTGAATGCTGATATGCAATTGGTGCCTGTGGTTGTGCAGTCCAGTATGACTTCATTCATGGGATTACTTCTTCATAGTTCTTAGGAATTTCAGTACAGATTTTATGAACACTCCTCCCATCATCAAATCCTCCATCATGAAGTTTAAGTCTAGAGGGTCGACTTCATTGCACCTGGTTTTTTCCCCATATCGCTCAGTCTCTCTCCACAGAATGGCTAGCTACCTCCTGAGAGCATTGCGTAAAGCACAAATTCCATAGCTGCGACACGATCCCCAGGGATCTCCATAAAAATTGCTTTCGTGAACTGAGCGATGTGGCTGTGAAATGAATCCATGACCTTGAGAACATGAGGAAAATGGCTTCACCACTTTGCCATGGATTACCCTAACCCCCCCCCCCCCCCTCACCCACCCCCCACCTCCATCATAATGTACTGTATAATGACCAGTGCTTATCACCACCTGGTCTTCTTGAATTAGGATATGATGACTCCCCATAATATCAGTTTTCACTTGGTCAGTGACTTTAATCTGACTTATTAAGAGCTTATAGCTCATGGTCAAGGGCTGCTCTCTGTTAATGCATGATGATCTTTCACATGATTTCTTAATGTTTATGATTCAGAGGGCATTGTCGCCAAAAGCCTGTTGGAATCATCTGAATGGGATTAACTTGAGTAGTGGAAACCAATAGGTGCATGCTCATGATGATTCTCAGCCTCTCAGAGGACCCCTCCTGTGCTTAATCGATTTCCTTGGGAAACAAAACTAAGGATGGGTACTTTTTTTTTTCTTAAACTTCATAAATACATATGTGTGTATAGATGGTTTGAAAAAATATGTAACTTTACTGCGGCTTATCATGAACCACTGTCTCGATTTGTAAGCACAATTACCTGATAATACTATATGAACATGTCTGAAGGCAAATACTGATTATGTTGTTGTGTCTACTGACTTTGCTACATCAAGTTGCATAGTAACCGAACTGTTGTATAATTATGCAATGATTTTGTTCTTATGTAGAATTCATTGAAATGTGATTTCAGATTGTTAATAAATATCCTGGTCTGTACTGACTGTTCTTTAGAATTGTATTTTGTTTTTTCAGTTATCTCAGTATATTTTATTGTTGTAATTTCATGTAATTCAGCAGGATGCAGTTATAGTTTTTAATGTTAGCCTTAAACTTGTGTGGGTTATTTCAGAAACGTCTTTGCTGTAAAAAAAAATATGTGAGTTGGTTTAAAAACTGCATACACACTTTCTTCCTGAAATTGAACATTGTTGCCTATTAAAGGACTGCTATATACTACAGTGTTATGAGTATGTGTGTTCCTGCATTAAAGCGAGTCTCCAAGAGCATTCACACCTAACAAGGCTATCCTCCGAATAATGGATCTGAGTGATCGCGTTTAAAAACAAATATATTTTTATATGTTTATAAATGTATACACAGATCAGCAAAAATATTCTACAGTTTAACTGACAGCAGTAGTTTTCAGACCTGATGACTTATATAGATTAATGAACGATAAACTACAGTGGTTGCAATGCCTTGCTATGCACAAATAATACAGAACACAGTAGACTGTTCGTCTTGCAACCGTCGGATGTCATTTGTGTCAAGGCTAGAATGTTCGGATAGATTCTCGTGGTGATATTGTAATTGTAATACTCATTGCAATGTACGGACAGGTTCGTTCTTTGCCAGTTGTGAACTCCTAACTGAAAAAATTGTCATGGTAATATTTTACTGGTTGTTCGATGTGAAGCTGAAACATGTGATGTTTTTCTGGTTGTTCGATGTGAAGCTGAAACATGTTTTTCGAGAGATTGACAAGCTGTGACACTATAGTCAACTACAATAATTATTTTCGAGTAGAGTGTTAAACGGGCTGCTGCTTAGCAACCCTCAGTCGGGAGGATTATATGCTAACGGACAGTCAGGGGTTGGGCTAGTTGAATGTCTTAGTGGTCGTTGCTGGTTACAGGGGCGAGATGCCACAACATGGGAACGCATTATAAGTGAGCATGTTTCCAGGAACAACGATTTTCACTGTCAAGAACCTACATGTCTAGGGGTTCGAATCTATGACTGGCTGATGACAGATAAACACCCAAGCCAAACACTTGTTGAACACATCATTCATTCATTAGCACATTTCCGTCTTTCCAGATTATAGTGTTATATTGCGCTATGGGGAGGCATGAGACTCACAGCCCATGACGATGGCGAGTGTGACTAGCAAGACCCGCCCGTGTCAAGAAAAGTCTTTCACAATGATAGCATGGAATTTCAGGACCATTGTTAACATTTGTGTTTAATCCGTTTCTTTTCAGACACTCAGATCTCATCATTTCTGCAATCATTTCTTCCTTCAGTCTCATTCCCTTTCTGATATGCCCTTTCCACACAACACGGTCCATGGCATTTTGTTCCCATGAGTCTGCCTCAATACCTGTATCATTCATGTCCCGCTTGCATACATCTTTAAAACGTAGTAGAGGTCGGCCTCGACATCTTCCTGTCTTTAATTCACCATAAAGGATGTCCTTAAAGGCTCTGCCATCCTCCATTCTCCAGGTGTGACCCAGCCACCTGAGCCTTCGTAGACTGAGCATGGAAAAGACTTGTAG